ATCCCTGACCCCGGAGCACATCCCCCTGGAGCGCATCACCCCAGAGCCATCCCTGACCCCGGAGCACATCCCCCTGGAGCGCATCACCCCAGAGCCATCCCTGACCCCGGAGCACATCCCCCTGGAGCGCATCACCCCAGAGCCATCCCTGACCCCGGAGCACATCCCCCTGGAGCGCATCACCCCAGAGCCATCCCTGACCCCGGAGCACATCCCCCTGGAGCGCATCACCCCAGAGCCATCCCTGACCCCGGAGCACATCCCCCTGGAGCGCATCACCCCAGAGCCATCCCTGACCCCGGAGCACATCCCCCTGGAGCGCATCACCCCAGAGCCATCCCTGACCCCGGAGCACATCCCCCTGGAGCGCATCACCCCAGAGCCATCCCTGACCCCGGAGCACATCCCCCTGGAGCGCATCACCCCAGAGCCATCCCTGACCCCGGAGCACATCCCCCTGGAGCGCATCACCCCAGAGCCATCCCTGACCCCGGAGCACATCCCCCTGGAGCGCATCACCCCAGAGCCATCCCTGACCCCGGAGCACATCCCCCTGGAGCGCATCACCCCAGAGCCATCCCTGACCCCGGAGCACATCCCCCTGGAGCGCATCACCCCAGAGCCATCCCTGACCCCGGAGCACATGCCCCTGGAGCGCATCACCCCAGAGCCATCCCGGACCCCGGAGCACATCCCCCTGGAGCGCATCACCCCCGAGCCATCCCTGACCCCGGAGCACATCCCCCCGGAGCACATCCCCCTGGAGCGCATCACCCCAGAGCCATCCCTGACCCCGGAGCACATCCCCCTGGAGCGCATCACCCCAGAGCCATCCCTGACCCCGGAGCACATCCCCCTGGAGCGCATCACCCCAGAGCCATCCCTGACCCCGGAGCACATCCCCCTGGAGCGCATCACCCCAGAGCCATCCCTGACCCCGGAGCACATCCCCCTGGAGCGCATCACCCCAGAGCCATCCCTGACCCCGGAGCACATCCCCCTGGAGCGCATCACCCCAGAGCCATCCCTGACCCCGGAGCACATCCCCCTGGAGCGCATCACCCCAGAGCCATCCCTGACCCCGGAGCACATCCCCCTGGAGCGCATCACCCCAGAGCCATCCCTGACCCCGGAGCACATGCCCCTGGAGCGCATCACCCCAGAGCCATCCTGGACCCTGGAGCACATCACCCGGGAATTGTCCTGGACCCCGGAGCACGTTGCCCTGGAGCCATCCCACACCTTGTAGTAGCACATCGCTTCAGAGCCATCCTGGACCCTGGAGAACATCGCCCTGGAGCCATCTCACACCGTGGATCGCATCGCATCAGAGCCATCCAGCATCCCAGAGCACATCACCCCAGAGCACATCTCCCTGGAGCCGCTCCCAGACCCTGGAGCACATCCCCCTGGAGCTGCTCCCAG